ATTATACTGATTGATTTTAATCGATTGATGCATGATTCATTGAGTCAATTAAAGCCTGATCATCTTTTCTTGATTTCTGTTGCAAACTGAGATAGATAGAATCTGATTAAGTTGTTAGAGCTTCATCAATCGGTAGTGGTAGATTGGTTATACGAGAGTTAATCAATTTACTTTTTTGCATTGGGATTCAATTGTAGTGGAGTTTTGTGTTCATAGCCTCAGCTTTCTATCCCGGTGAAGACTAGTCGTCTGTCGGGTAGTTTGACTGAGAGGGCTTGGTCAGCTTAAGAGATTCCAAGCTACTATCGGATCTTCCGCAGTTTAATCAATAGTTAATCAACCCAGGGTAATTACAAACTCGACCTAACTAAGGAGCTAGGGGGACTCATTCCCGAGTGACTCTCCCCTTGCTAAAGAACTTTGAACCATTTCTTGCTTTCTTATTGCTTTTAGTTAAAACCACAATCACTCAACTTAGTTTGCTAGATAATAAATAATCACGAAGTAGGCAGTAGATCTAGGCCCCGGGTTGACAAATAAAGCCTGCCACTTACTGCATTTCCATACTGCGATTGCACTTGGTCGTAGTTTGGTGTTGTGTTTTAGCGTGTCACAAGGCTGCCCCCTCTTCCCCGTCCCAATCCGCCCTAACCTCAACGACCAGGTAATGCACAACAAACTTCCACTCTGCATCTTCTTTCACCGTTACTGGCTTTGTTTTTGGATCCGTAACAGTGATTTACTCTGTAGTCCATCTTTGATCTCTGCTTGTTGGGGAGGGTTGTAATGAGCTAGGGGCAGTATTGGGATGGCAGGCTGTGGAGTCGACAAAGATAAGGCCAATGACGAGAACGGAGCTGAATTTGCAGAAATTATTTGAATAGATGAGACCGCTGCAATTATTCAGTAATGGACGATGATAAAGCTTTAGGCGATGATGATGATGATGATGAGAATTTCATATTTGTATACAGTGGTAAAGTGGGGTCAATCTCATGATTTAAACTACGTTGTTGTTACTGTTGGAGTGGAGTTGTGGTCATGATCAAACACTTTTTGGTTGTACTCAATCGGAGCTGCTAGTTTCATATATGGTTTTCTTTTTACCAATTTATATATGCATTATTAGTAATACTAATGCAGATCCATTTGTAATACTTATTATATGAGTAATACTAATATGGTAATTGAGACCTCATCACAAGGCACACAAATTTCTAAAGCATACTCCGGATAATAATTTCCCTAATACATACTAGAAACACCACAAAGCAAACCACAAATATTTTTAAATCACGCCAGAAACCTCCTAATAGAAACCACACACGATAAAACAAACCACAAATCCATTAAAATAAACCAGAAACCTCACAAATCAAACCATAAAATTTTCGAAAGCAACCATAAACTTCTTAATGCAAACCAGAAACACAAAAACCTCACAGGCAAACCACAACATTTGCGAAAAGCACACCAGAAACCTCCTAATGCAAACCACAAACGCCGTAAAGCAAACCAGAAAACCTCGCAAAGCAAACCACAAATATATTAAAACAAACCAGAAATCCCGCAAAGCAAACCACAAAAGTTCCGAAAGCACACCAGAAACTTCTTAATGCAAACCAGAAACCTCCTAATGCATACCAGAAACCCCACAATGCAAACCACAACATTTGCGAAAGCACACCAGAAACCTCCTAATGCAAACCACAAAAACAAACCAGAAATGTCCTGATGCATACCACAAATCTATTAAAACAAACCAGAAACCCCGCAAAGCAAACCACAAAAATTTTTAAAACACATCAGAAACTTCTTAATGCAAACCAGTAACACGATAAAGCAAACCACAAATAGCATAAAAAACACGAGAAACCAAACCATCAATCTCACAATGCAAACCATTATATCCGGTGGTCGTTGACCGCTGACCGGCCAACGAAAATCGTTGACCAAACTCCGATGACCGCCAGTGAGTAGATTATGGCCCCGATGACTAGATTCCGACGCCGGTAAGCATATTCCGACCACAGTGAGCATATTCCCGTGACGGTGGCATGTTCCGATGACAAAACAGCATATTCCGGCGACACAAAACATATTCCGGTGACCGGCGACCAAAATTTTGGGCAGAAAATTAAAAACAATATTTTTTATTTTATTATTATTTAAATATATTTTTCATAATGACAAGTATACCCTTACTTTGATTTTACACTAGATCAACTCATCTAATAAAAAGTCATCACAACCCTACCTTCCTATTGGTTGGAGACTAGTATTATTACAATAACAACACAAGGGGTGTTGTCACACTATCTAGTCCTAATAGGGGTCGTCGCTTGAAAAGAATTCACGAGAACCAAAGTCGAGAGCATTTTTCCGTTAATATTTGCAGCCCACAAATTACATTAACCATTTGGATTATGAGCACTTCTACTATGCTATAAAGTATTGGTGCTTTAATGTACAACTTAAAGTTGTACCATAACGTTAAATGTATAAGTTCAGGTTGTACCATAAAGGAATTTGTGCTCTTATGTTATGGTACAACTTTATAATTTAAACTTGTACCATCAAATGAAAATACAAATTTAAGTTGTACCATAAAACAATTTGACAAAAGAGTATAGGTACAATCTGAAGTTGTACCATAACGTTAAAGGTACAACTTCAAGTTATACCATAAAAGAAAAAACATATAGCACCAATACTATATAGTATTGTAAAATTCCTCTTGGATTATAGCTTTTTTGCAATAGATTATAGATGAATATATTGATTAGACAATAAATGAATATTTTGACTGTATCTTCTTTAAATTTGTTATCTCAAAGCAAGTGTTCTATTCATTTTCAGTTTATAGTCAATGTTATTTTGTAACTGAAATATGTTTAAAATTTAATACTAACTTTTTTGTGATGGATTTTTGAATACTATTTACTAACTCGGGTTAATTGCAAGGATGGTCATTGGGTTTACTAAAAATGTTCATGTTTGGTCACTGCAAATATTTAATTCTATTCATGGTCACTAAGATTAGTTCAATAGTTCAAGTTTGGTCACTCTCCGTTAGTCTCTGTTAGTTTTTGCTGATGTGACAGTCAACTATTATAGTTGACCGTTAAATAAGTGACGTGACCATTAAAAAATATTAAAAAAATAAAATTTAAATATTTATAATTTCCATCTCATTTTACAACTATTAAAAAATAAAAATAAAAATTAATTCTGATCCCTCCTCCTTCGATTTCTGTCCCCCTCCTTTCGATTACTCACCTGCCGGATATTCTCCCTTCTATTCTCTCAGAAACCCTAATATCCCATAGGAAGAGGTGAACAAGACCGGCCCCACCGCCGCTCACTTCCAGATGGCGACCACTACCACTACAAGCCTCGGCGGCGGCGGCGGAGACGATCGGCCGAGCATAAGCAAATCATAAAGAGTCAAGTAGAGCAGAAGGAGCGGGGAAGGTATATGTAATGACAGGGATTTAGTTGTAACAAGGGTTTAGTTGGTGGGTTTTTTAGGAATTGTGCGACTCCTATTAAAGGAAGTCTGTGTTGTAATGGAAGAAATAGGAAATAACAGAATCATTTTACTACTCTCCTTCTCTGCTCTCTCTCGATCTATTCTTCTTCTTCCCCAAGCTTCTGCATCTGTTCTTCCTTCCCTTCTCAATCTCTCTTCCTCTTTCTCTTATTCTTCTCTCAATTACACTGTCTTGCCAATTAATTCGTCGGGACAGATCCAGGACATGACAGCATACAAAGGAACTGACCACTCCAGATTGAGTGAAAGTAGAGATGGAAATCTTCTGGTCGGAGAGATAATCTTCTGGTCAGCAAATCTGCAGAGGAAGATGAATCGAAGAAAGCGTCGGCGCCGCAACAAACAACCAGAGGTAGAGAGGAAGCGGGAGGGAGATGCATGTGCGCTTACCTTTGGCCTTCTTGCCGAAGTCGGAGAAGAGACCTAGTCCCTTGCTCATGGCGGCCGGCGAAACAGAGTCGGGGAGGGAAAGATTTTGTAGGAGGGATTATGAAAAACCCTATATAATGCGAATTGTGATAGAGAGAGAGCTGTTAATGACTTAGGCGTAGATGGCGGAGGCCATCTATCAAGTTTATTTTTATTTTTTAATAGTTGTAAAATGAGGTGGAAATTGTAAACATTTAAATTTTATTAATTTAATATTTTTTAATGGTCACGTCACTCATTTAACGGTCAACTATATTAGTTGACTGCCACATCAGCAAAAACTAACGAAGACTAACGGAAACTGAGAGTGACCAAAATTGAACTATTGAACTAATCTTAGTGATCATGAATGAAATTAAATATTTGCAGTGACCAAACATGAACGTTTTTAGTAAATAAGTCACCATCCTTGCAATTAACCCTTACTAACTCAGTAAGAAAGAAATCATTTCATTCGTATTCTCAATTCTGAGATCAAATCAAATCGAAACAATATACGTAGGAAGCACCTGCGAAACTGAAAATCAAATCCCAACAGATAACCAAACTTTTATATTATAAATAAATAAATTAATATATACAAAAGCGGGAAAATGAAAAGATTTGTTGTATCGCTCTCTCAGTCTCTCTTTCCCATTCTTTCTAATTTAATGAGGGGGCGACAACAGACAAGAGCTGGGCTCCATACCAAAGATTTGCTAAGATCTCACGTTATTGGATCCTCAGAATCTCCTTCTTCAGCTTTTCTTTATTGCCCTGTCCTCTTTCCTTTCTTACCTTCTCCGCCATCCCCTATTAAACACCAAACCGCCCTCCTAACCCAGAAAATCCCTCCACGCTTCCCAATTTCGATTTCCTTCTCAACCCCGAAGATTATTAATTCCTACCTCTACTCCTTCAAAATCTACAGGCTGCGATTTTTCGAACCCACTCAGTTCCAGCGATTTCTTCTAGCAAGGAGGTTTCTTTTGGCTTTTGGGCTTTCTCATTAGGGCTCTGATAATCTTTGATCTGGGAAATGGCTGCCGCCGGTACCGAGTCTCTTCGGTGGAACTTGGCCGAGGAAGTGGGAGTTTCGGGTTGTAACCGCAATATCGTTAATGGGTCGGGTTCTGTTTCCGAGGAGTTTCATGTTCTAGCTGTGGATGATAGTATTGTTGATAGGAAGCTTATCGAGCGCTTGCTGAAGAGTTCTTCGTTCAAAGGTGCCACCTTTTACTCAATTGTGGGGGTTCTTCTCGGATTTTCTGTTTCTCATTTGGTTTGATTTAGGATCTGACATATGGGATTTGTTTCTATTTTTGGGTATGCAGTTACGGCTGTGGACAGTGGTACTAGAGCTCTGCAGTACCTTGGTTTGGGTGGAGAGAAGAGTTCTTCCGCTGTTGGTTTCAATGTATGTGATGGTTTCCTTTTTCACACATACTCTCTGATTGGTTGCTTAGGTTTCCCGTGCTGATTGTTCTGTATTGTATGTAATTTGACAGGATTTGAAGGTCAATCTCATTATGACCGATTACTCCATGCCAGGCATGACTGGATACGAGCTGCTTAAAAAGATCAAGGTATGAAATTTCACCTTCATTTATCAGAAGCTTCAGCTAGTGGTCATGGCAGGGGAGTTGTGATTCAGTTTTCCTGTTACTGATTTGGTTCATTTCCATATTTTCTTTCTTGAGCAGGAATCTAAAGCGTTTAAAGAGATCCCAGTTGTGATAATGTCATCAGAGAACGTCTTGACCCGGATCCATAGGTGAATTTCTAAATCTTGACCAATTCTGATTTTCATTTTTGAGTTGATTGCTCTTTGCTGACTTTTAGAGCGGGATAGAGATTGGGCTTATGAACAAGATCTTATCTATGTGGAAGTATCTTCCTGATGTTGATTGGTGTTAGGACGGATTAAATCTTACATACCTACTGTGAGATCTTGTTGTCAAGATCTTTTTTTTGAGAGACTAGTCCAAGATTAATTGACTTTTGGCAATTGAATTTGTTTGATGTGGGTAGTGGTGGAAGACTAGCACTTTTAGATTGGCAGGTTAATGTTATGCCTCTTGAACTGGACCACAGAATGGTTAATAGATGATTAGGAAAATGGGTTGAATTGCGTATCTTTGATTAGGAAATGGTTTCACCATTCGGTTGTGTCTGTTTCCCAGGAAGGTTATAACCATGGCAGGATTTTGATTAAATGAGTTAGTACTTAGAAGTCTTTCGTTAGTGTTAACATAATGGAATGAATGTTCTTAGAGTCCTTAGATTCGAAGTGCAGCAAATCCTAATTGGAAGGTTCTGTTATTTATTGATTCAGTTGTCTGGAAGAAGGTGCCGAGGACTTCCTGGTAAAGCCTGTGAAAAAGTCCGATGTCACGAAGCTTAAGGACTTCATGGTGAAAGGTGATCAAGCCGAGAAAGGCAAGAGAAGGAGCATCAAGAGAAAGGTGGAAGGTGACTTTGTTGAGCCTAAAATGGTTACTGCTACTAATACTACAATTGCCTCTTCTTCAGAGGAGGATCAATCATCCTCCGCATCCCATTCTCCATCATCATCATCTCTGTGTTCATCTCCCTCTTGCAAAAGAAGCAGACTGCAATAGCCAGTTACCTAATAGACATTCCCGCTAAGCTATTGATTCAGCAAATTTTGTAAGCAGCATTATACGACTTAAAAAGAAAATAGCAAATTTTGTAGTCAGCAGCATCACTGACCCATCTATGATCTACCTCAAAAGGTAGTATCTGAAATGGAGGGAGCACTTCAAAGGGAGCGATCAACTTGATGTGATTTGTTTTTGGTTTGTTTTTTGTAAATGGTCCAAATTTAATCATCAATACGAAATTGAGATCTCTAAAACCTCAAGTCTCAGTGATCCTGCTGCTTCCCCCAACTTGTTATCAAAGTTGGTATCTTTGACTGGACCATCTTGTGAGATTGCCCTGTTTTCTTCCCACTTTGTGGGGCTGTCCTTGTACCGACTTGGACACCGTTTGTTTCTTCAACCTCTACAATTGTATCTTCTTGACAACTCATCATTTATGATTCGGTAAGTCCAATTTGGTATGGTGGGATATGATCCTGTCCATAGTGATGAGAAGATACACTTCGATTTGAATAAAGATACAATACGATGATAAAATAAGATTGAATAGAGATACAATTCGATTTGATTTAATTTATCAAATCTAAAAATGGTAAACATATATATAAAGTAGGCTGAATCGGAATTGGATGGAATCGATTGGCTCGAAATTCAAATGGAACAAATCGGGGTTGCCCTTTGCATAAAATGGAATTATCATCCTTCGTGCATCATTTCAACTGCCTGAATGGTGCTTCCTTTTGACAAGGCTCGACCCAAAACAGCAACAAAGAATCAATGTACAAAAAATCGAAGGTATATGATCCAGCCAGCACCAAGGTATGGAGACTGGAAAAAAGAAAGCAAGAGATGAATGAAATCTTTGGCGTGGGGGACCATGGAATCTTATCTTAGGCCAAAAGGGAAGGATTAGGAAGCAGAGCAGGGGTAAATCCCCAATAATATATAAGTGTACTTTTTTTCATTTCAAATTTCCTGCAACGAGAGTGAAAATAGGAAGGACATTTTTGTCTTTACAATTAATTATTTATCTCACATAAAAAATATCAACATCAAGATTTGAACCCGGGTCTCTTCAAATATAGACAACAATCACAACCATTTATGCTAAACAAATTTGTTGTATCTTTTTGAATACAAAATATACACGAAGTTCAACTCTCTGAAAATCACAGGACTTTCCATCATGTTTAGCAAGCCCACTAAGTATACCGTATGTATTTTTATGGTGCTTGATACTTCAATTTTCATAGTAGAGTTTCATGTAATTTTCTCAATTTTAAAATTCTTTCTCTCTCCTTAATTTTTGCTAAAGGTAAATTGGCAATTGGCTAACATGGAAAAAACTAATTTTGTCACTACGTGTTGCGTCCTTGCATTTTTCAATTTAAATTGTGGGTTTATCTTTGTTCTTATCTCTTTCTAACTTCCTCGGAAATTCTCTCCAACGTACAATAGTTTGCGCCCCTTTCACTTCCCAATACAAGGCCGCTTTTGAAAATCAATCATCCGATATCTCTTGGCACGTCAGTTTTATTGTTGCGGATTTAAGTTGGAAAAGTAAAAGAGTTTAATAAATAATGGAGTTGCAGAAGGAGGATTAGAAATTGAATTTTTGGTTGAAAATATGTTTCTTGAGATAATAAAATTTTTTGGCTGTACAAGGAAGAGTGGTGGCTATTGGATCTTATGTTTATGGTTTTTACATCTATCACAACATATTTTTATCTTAAAACGAGGAATCATTGATTGATTTATTGAAGTAGGTCGATTCTTTATTCAATCTACTGGAACTGATAGACAAGGAGTGTCTAATTTTGTGCCTTATTACTTTGATTGAGTCTATTACTGTGTTGGAGATAATCCTAATTTTGTCGTTTTCTCTCAAGTTTTGATGGTCCCCTCTTAGCTTAGTCCTCCATTAATATATAGTAGAGTTTTGTAAACTTTTCTCCATTTCAAATTTCCTGCAATGAGAGTGAAAATAGGAAGGATAATTTTGTCTTTACAATTAATTATTTATTTCATAAAAAATATCAATATCAAGACTCGAACCCGGGTCTCTGCAGACAAAGATAGCAATCATAACCAATTATACTAAATGTATTTGTTGTTCCTTTTTTAATACAAAACATACATGTATTTAAACTGTGAAAAGCAGAGAACTTTTCCATCATGATTAACAAGTGCACTAAGTCTACTATATGTATTTTCATGGTGCTTAATACTTCAATTTTCATAGTACAGTTTCATTTAATTTTATCAATTTTAGAATTCATGCTCTCTCTTTTATTTTCGCTAAAGGTAAATTGGTAATTGGCTAACATGGAAGAAACTATTTCCTTTACTATGTGTTGTGTCGTTGCATTTTTCAATATAAATTTAAATTTTGTGCCTTTTTTATCTTTGTTCTTATCTCTTTCTAATTTTCTCCGAAATTCCCTCCATCGTGCAATAGTTTGCGTGCTTTCACTTCCCAGTATAAGGAGCATTTGAAAATCAACATTCCGGAATCTTTTGGCACTGCATTTTTATTCTTGGGGATTTAAGCTGGACAAGTAGAAGATTTCAACTCTCATATCAATCCATGACCAATAGAATGGAGTTCAATCAAGTAGTTATGGCTTGGCCTTGATTATCTCGCTCGATTCCTCTGCACTGGCATCACCCAATGGTTCTGTCTCTCCCCGATGTACTATCATAAGAACTATTTTGCTGCTTCTATTGCTGAAGGCAATGTTTGATCAGTTATACCTTTCGCCTTTACTCCTCTTCCTATACCAGGCATTGACCTTTAACAGGTTTTCGATTTCCGATCAAGGTTAATCGCTTTACACATGTAAGTTATTCGTTTCTTCTCTATGTCTCATGGTTTTATCTTTCTGATTAATAACAAAGCGACTTTTATTTTCACGTTGTCTCATGAACACAACATGCATAATATCTATTTATTTTGATCTTATTGCCTGAAACGATGCTTAAAGCTCGGGGGATCTCCTGCGTGATTTCTCCTCTTTCTGTTATTAGGTTCAACTTCAATGTGTTTCTATCTTCATATTAGGTTCATCGAATTGAACTGGCAGGCTATTATTTCCTTCCCGGTTTATCTAAGTTTTTTGTTTATGAATGATTTATTAAATATAGAAAATGAATTTGAACGATGGTTTGGGTACTATATTTGTTTGTAAGCAAAAGAGATGTTTGTGTAGAACATGGCAGTTGTACTTTGCTAGAGCCCTGTCCACTTTGTTGTGTGTTTCCTGTACTTTATTTTTGTTCTTTGCTTAGCTATTGAAATAATAAAATAAGATCAAAATGAGAAAAAAAAAGGTTTCTTTTCAATTACAATATTTCCGCTCATATTTGATTTTGTGATAACTAATGTTCTCCGCAACCATAATTTTCCTCATTAATTTTTATTCTTATCTCACTAATCAAATTTTGATATTGTTTTAGAATTATTTAGAAATTGAGCTTTCATGCAACACTCTAGGAGTTTGAGGTGTTGAACTTGGAGTAGAAGAGTTAGGATTGAGTTTGAAAATGAGAGTGGTGGGGGGAAGAAAAATTCAACTGTAGCATGTTAAGGCAGAGAAGAGGGAGTTACCGAGGGTAGTGATCGAATTGAGGAGGGTGTTGAAAGACGCGAAAGCAAAACTGGAGCAGTTAAAGAGAGAGAAGTGAGAGATGATGAGGATATCAATAAAAATGGAGAGGGTATTGAAGGACATGGAAGTGTACTGAAGCATGTGAAGGCATACAAGGGGGGAGATGAGCATATTGATGGAATTGGAGATGAGTTTTGGTTTTAGCGAACTTATTACAACTGGCCTTGAGGAAGATGAGTTGGCAAAACACAGGAAGAGGATTGAGGAGTTGAAGAGCGAGTTGACAAAAACCCTAATTGTAAGAGAAATTGAGGGTCGCAGAGAGAAGGTCCATCAAAGTAGCAGAAATGGAGTTGCAGAAGGAGGATTAGAAAGTGAATGTTTGGTTGAAACATATGCTTCTTGAGATTGAAGATAGAGTATATAAAAATTTGGTCGTTCAATGCAGAGTGGTCGCTATTGGATCATTAGGTTTATAGTTTTTGCAGCTACCACAACCTATTTCTATCTTAAAACGAGTAATCATTGATTGATTTAATGAAGTAGGTTGATTCTTTATTCAACCTACTGGAACTGATTGATAAGGACTGTCTAATTTTGCGCCATATTACTTTGATCGAGTCTATTAGTATATTGGAGGTAACCCAATTTACTTTGATCGTTTGCTCTCAAGTTTTGATGGTCCACTCTTAGCCGAGTTGTTAGTATATAGTTGACTTGAACCTACAACTATCCATTTATTTTTTATTAGTGGCATATTGCCCCCAAAATGAGAGCATTGAACCATTTACGTAGGATTGTGAGGTTTTAGATTCAGTTTCAAACTATCTATGGGTCGTGTGGGAATTCCAGTGAGCTTTTATACTCTATCTTTCTTAACAATCAACTAACCAATAACATATTAACTGGGCTTAATTATCATTATGAAAATGAGATCAATCATACATTTTTATGTTTTATTTTCTCAAATGATGATGATATTTCTCTGAATGTTCGACCTATATATTCTTTCTTTATGTATCATCTCGATCGAAAGATTGCCAATAAAATTAAACAGGTTGATAGACTTTAACGTAACATAAAAAGTATAAAAAATAAAATATAAACATTCCGGCCAACGGGCCGGATTATAAGCTAGTGAATATAAAGGTGAAAGCCAAAACCCATTGCTCCATTTCAAATTTCCTGCATCGAGAGTAAATGTAGGAAGGGCAGTTTTGTCTTCACAATTACTTATTTCTTTCTTATTTATTTATTTATTTATTTATAAAAAGGGATACTTATGGTGATTTGAACCATGACCACTATAAAGAGAGGGAAGAGCTACAACCAATCACACCGCATATTTGTTGTATCTCTTAAAAGAAAAACATACACAAACCTAACATCTAAAAAATCATCGGACTTTTACAACGGTTAGCTAGCCACTAAATCTCCCATAAGTACTTATTTGGTGATTTGATACTTTGGTTTTCATATTTTGATTATTTTAATTGTAATTTAATACTTAATTTGCGTTTATATGTATATTATAAATAGTGGATAACTTTAAAATTGCAACACAAATATAACTTGGTTGCATATCAAATTGGAGTATTAAGTAGGTCGAAGCAATGTCAAAATTTTATTTTAGTATTAATTTTTAGAATACTATGAAGAAATTATATTGTTGTGCAGACTATATGAGAGGGGGTTTTTAACGTTTAAGTTGGGTTAACCACTAAGTTTTAAATATGTTCCTAATTCAATGTGATTAGATTCAATGATCATTGTACGAGATTGGGTTTAATTATTGGTTCATTTCACCATTTTTTTGAAATGTTAATGAATTTCTAGGGCAATGACATATGTCTACGCCTTAACATCTACACACAATACAATATATAAGATTGGAATGAGAAAAATATTATCCGATTTTAAATTCCTACAGCAAGATCCAAAATATGAATGACATATTTTCCTTCACAATTATTAAACTTATTTCATTATAAAAAATAGACAAGTATTGAAATTTAAACCAATGTATCTTAAAAGAGAAGACAAGAATTATAAGTATGATTTTCAACCCATTGGTCGAATAAGTTTAGCCCCAACCGAGTATCTGATAGGATGTTTGAGGCCGAGTTGGTTATCAACCCAAACTTGGACGAACTAGGAAACCCACTCAAATTAGGAAATCAAGTCGATTCAACTAACTCATATGAGCACTGAGTCACTTCAAACCGACATCATTTTCAACAAATCTAATCACTAGCATTGTTGACATGTCGTCCTTCTCTTTATCATAGACCCATGCAGTAGCGTACATCAACCACTCGTGTTCGGTTATCCCATAAGATCTTCTTCCTCCTTTAGTATCGGCAGGCAACAATACAAACCTCAACCATCTCAAAAGCTAACATAGCTCCTTAGTAGTCAATTCCATTTTTCTTCCAGCCACAAGGTCACAACGCCAATGAACCACATCTCATACAAATAATAGCAAAAAGATTAAACGAACATGTATTTGAATTGAGACTTTGTTTGATTAACATAGACCAATGTCCTCATTTGTATATACACTTGAAATTGAATTGGAGAAGAAGAGTAAAAAAAAAACATTAAGAATGGAATATGATATGCAATGCAAAGAAGGAAAGAAAAAACTAGAAAATGAAATGGAAAAAGATAAAAAAAAAAGTAAAAGGAAAGAAATTTAGAACTAAAGCGTAATTTCCAAGGGAGAAAAAAGTATAAAAAAAACTCTATCCCAATGAATAAGTTATATTAAATCATTATTGTATCTAAATTTATCATAGAAATTTCATAAATATCTAAGCATAATACATGTCGAACCAATAAAAATTTTCATATACCTGGGTAAAGCTAGGCTAAACCAAGTTAATCTAATTCGGTCATTAATTCTTAATTCACTTGCTTAAATAATTCATTGGTGGAAATCGAGTGACAACCTTGGTCATAACAAATTAGACTAAACAAATTTATTGTATATTTCTTAATGGGTTATAGGTATAATATACTCCTCTAATATATATATACTCTCTTATTCACTACTAACCTTTGGAAATGCATGCAATGTCAGTTTCCAAACCGTTTGTGCAAGACTGAGAGTAGGATGTTTGCACGGTAATTTAGGGGACTTAACGTAGATTCGACAAGAAAACCGATATCCCTCTTAATTCCAGATTAACCTTCGAATGTATACTGAGGGAGAGATTACAATTGGGAGGTTACAAGGGGAAAATCTAGGGAGAAGGGTAGAGAGAGAACCCCTAAGTCCCCTTTCTAAGTGTAGTAAAATTGGTATTTATAGCCTCTCTGGGTTTGGTGGGCAAGTCCCGATGACAAGACTAGGTGCTTAGAGACAGATACGCGGGCCCACTGGCATTCCTTCCTCAGATTCAGTTACGTGGAACCTTTATGCGGGATCCGCGATTGGCAGTTCCACGGATCATATCAGAGTAGCGCGGGTTTTTGGGTAATTGAGCGGAAAGCCTAAGTGCGCCGCGTGGCCTTCTCGACCTTTACCCCTAACACAAACATATTTTACTCAAATACATTTATATAACAGTGAATGACTCTTTAAATTTCGCTTAGTTTTCAATGAAAGATGAGATGCACTTAATTGATCTATGAGCTCAAATATATTTTCATACCACTAAAACTACAAGCATTGTGATGTTTAGTTGTTTACTCACCTCTGCTCATGTTCATAGTTTGCTATGAAATTTAGATAAAGAAACTTTAAATCTCGCGCAATTAAAAGTAGGATATGAAAACTATGTAAACAAGTGATTGCAAATTTTCTAATTTGAAACCCAAAACTGAAGGAATTTAGATCATCTCATTTCGCAATAAATTAAAAAGTCTCATGGGTAAGTGATACCTTATCGGTGGATGTGGTGGTGATTGAACAACTAATGTCAAACGAGACCTTAAAAATTCCCTCCTCTATATATGGCAAAAAACATCCATCTCAAACCCAATTTATTACCAGTCAAATCATATTTGGTAATATCACTTATGGATCATACCAATAAACAATCATTTAGTTTGGGTCTAAATTATGTTCATTACACTAGCTACCCAAAAGAAAATGAACACCCAAATCTAATGTAAATTTTGAAAATTTCTTTACTGAATAGCTAGATGGTTGATATTATTGTTTCATATGTATAATTATATTTATATGGACTCAAATAGACCCTAATTGTAAGTTCGACTTAAATAAATGCTCTCCTACTCTAGCTCACTTTCCCATTTCACAAGTCAGTAACTTAAAGTAATCCGGCCAACGGGCCGGGTCAATAGCTAGTTGAATGAATGGTAGTTAGTTGGGCTGCTCTGTTTCTGTCTCCTTCAGTTTTGGCTCTCATGTTTTTGGCATGCCAGCCATATAATGATTCCCTTCCCTTCCCTTCCATACTAAATGATTCCTCCCACTTTGGCCTTTGTGTATTGTCTTCATCATCTTCGATCCAAGCAAACTTAAGTGATTAATAAAGGTTTATCTGTACATCACACTGGCGGATCCAGGGGCTGGCCACCCAAGGGCCCGGCCCAGCTCTCCTCTGGATTCGTAGTTACTATAGTCCTTATGAAATTTTTGATTTTAGACATTCAATCCAGTGTTATTCTATGATAAGATTAGGTTTAACTAGAAAAATTATCAAGTTGAACATATTCAAATCACTATTCTAAATTTAGCATAGAAATTTTAGCCCCAAAGATTATGCGTCTTAAAAAAACAATGAAACCTAAAATTCTAAAAAGTTAAATACGTAAAAGACTAAAAGAAATATGAGATTTGTTCCCTTACAAATTTACTAAAGCAGCTGGTGTGCATGGATGGACACACAATGTAAATTAATTAGTCGATTGATTTATCTAGTGTTGATGCTGCTCGTTTCAACCGCTACTACAAAGAGAACCTTTTTAACAATGAAACATGTGAGAACTGATTTGCTCAACAAAATGAGCGATGAATTTCTCGCCGATTGCTCAAATATTTTATTTGAAACGGTGTATACTATTGGTATGGATGTAGACTTCATTATTGATGCATTCCCTAAATTAAAATACAGTTGTGTACAATTTACATTGCAAAAAACTATAATCAGTATATTTTTTTACGGTTTTAATTTTCTAATGAAATGGGGCTCAGTGCTCTTCTGTGTTCTGGATCCGCCGCTGGTACATCATTCCCTTATTCCCTTATGAAGCAGGGAAGTTCTGGGGGTTTTCCTTCTCCCTCTTCCTCTTCTACATTCAAGTAAATTCTAACCTGCGAGATGAAAATTGGTAGTTACCTAAAGTTGAGATTTATTTGTTAGCAGAAAAGGAGTAATCGAAAAGAGAGTTAGTACGAAATGAAGACGGAACTTACGTGATTTCTTTCTATAAGATGAACAAGACTAGTTCATTGACAAAACTATACTTCTATATTATTTTTTGATAGTCTCGTCAGGGGGCATCGATTACTTAAAGGTCACTAATGATACCGTTCAAATTTATGGAGTGTTTCTAACTTTTCTTCATTTAATTTTAAAGGACTAATTCTCTTTCATTTTAAGTCGTAATTTATTTTTTCTAACAAAGATATCAGATTAATTGTACTCTTAAAAATGACATCCACTTTGATATATTTTGAAACAAAAAAAAATACATTTATTACCCATTCATACCATGGTAATGTTTGGTAGTACATAAAATTATACCACATGATATAAATGTGTATCATGGTGGAATAAATATACAAGAGTATAGAATAGTTGTATACATGATATTATAATTATATTAATAGTCATTTACTATTTTTTTTATCACCGTCTATCACCAGTTACCACCCTATACCAGGTTATTGTTATGGATGGTGTAGGGAAGTATACTTGGCCCTGAAACTTTTTTCTCGGAAAATTGTAGATCCAATAGATCTAATGAACTTGCTTTCTCGACAAAAAAATTCAAAATTCAAGTTAAAGACAAAGATGGTACAAATTTTTTGTTCCACTAAATATATCGAAGATGGACATCATACTTTATATCACAACTAATCTGTTCCATCTATTCATATATATATATATATATATATATATATATATATATATATATGGTAATGACTGGTGTACATCAGGCGTATAGTATACAGCAGGTGATCTAATCGTTAGATGTACTTAGATGAGCTCCACCGATCTCAACGGTCAATTTTTATTTTTCATTGAATCAAACTTTGGGGTGGGGTTTAGAAAATCGGTGCCTGGGGTTTATACATTATATATTGGTTACTCTAGTGCACTCACTTTTTCGGGTGCACCCAACTCTAAAAGTGTCCATAATACATCAAATTTTGAACTTTAATTAGTACTCTCAATATAATATGATGGTATGACATAGAATCATAACAAATCAATCTATTACCCTAACCCCTTAATCTTCAATTTTGAATATCAACCCAAAATCCCAAATTGTAAACCTAAACCCTAACGCTAAATCCTAAGTCCTTCAAATTAAAGTAAATTTTGAATGATTTTTTTTTTCAAATTCATGTGCTTCTTGTTCATAGTATCATAAGCAACAATTGATACAGTTTTGACATGAATCGCATGCTCAGAATGACAATTATAAGGGGGGTGCACTGAGTGCACCCAAAAAAGTGGGTGTACCGAATACGCCACTATATATATATAGTGCCTTCTACGGTACCCTCGCATACATTGAGTATGAAAACGCTATCTAGACATCGAATTAGTAGGATTTGGGCATGATACTATACCATAACCCTTAATGAGTGAACCCTATGTCTTAATTATCTAAATCATAAACTATAAACCCTAAGATGATGCATTGAATTTTTTGCCTATATTTGGACGAATCGACCCGTCGATTATTTTTTATAATTAAATTGATCTTGGGTATATGATTTAGCGAATTAAGATCTAGATTTTGATCTTTAAGGGTTAGAGTATAGTATCATGTCCGAAAGATCAGTCAATTCAAGTTTCGGATAGCGTTTTCTTACTCAAGGTATGCGATACCCCGGATTTTGCCATTAAATATGTGTGTGGTGGCGTCTTTGGTGCACTCACTTTTTTAGATGCATTCAGTGCACTCGCTTCATAATCGTCATATTAAATATGCGATTTATGTCAAAATGATGTCAATCATCACTTATGATGTGATGAATAATAACGCACATGAATGTGCGCAAAAACTAAAGATTTACTATAATTATAATTTGAAGGATTTAGAGTTTAGAGATTTAGGGTTGGGGTTAGGGTTTACAATTTGGGGTTTAGGGATAGAACTCAAAATTGGAGGTCTAGGGCTTAGGGTAATTCGCTAATTGGTTGTTTTCATATGTTATATCATCATATTACATTAGTTCTACAAATTAAAATTCAAAATCCGACATCTTAAGACTAGCTTTTGAGTTGGGTGCATTGAACACACTCATTTTTGTGAGTGCACCGAAGTAGTCACCATATATATGTTGCCATAGATATTCCCAAAAAAGGGAAACAACACATATAATGTACAAAACTAAAGCCTTTTCAGGCTGAATCGAAAAAGAAGGGACGCCAGCGACCAACCACCGACAAACGATAAGAGAGCATTCTTATCACGATACGGACAACTCTTTAATACCTATTCGGAAAAAACTAAGTCTTTAGCTTAATTTCCACCCTTTGCAGGGCGAAAGTCAAGGACTAAACCTCTGTGGCTATCAGATGACCGCAAAGCAGCATACCCGGCAAAATGCAAAACAAGCAAACACATAGCCTCTACAATCAGCCTGCAAACAATGCAATACTTTCAAAGACACGAGAAACGACAAAACATGTCGGAGGAGCATGAAAAAATAAGCATCACAATTAACCATGGGAAAAAATGAAACCAAGCAAAACAGAGGAGCTAGTCCTACTCAAATGAAAACCTAGATGAGACGGTACCAAAGAAGAAGTAGAAGCCAAAACAAATAATTAAAGCAAAGGTTAATGACAATGTCACCACCCTATATCCCCTGTAAACGAGTATAGATCAATAAACGAATGAAAAAGCAGAGAAATTGCAAATAGTGACGGAAGCGGTAAAAGAAATGAAGAAGACAAAAAACCTGGCCACCAACTTGGAAACGGTAATATCCGATGAGGCCTCCCAATCAAATATTAAACGATGAGGTACACTTGTAACCGGTCAGTTCTACATAAGTAGATTCAACCTAATAAAGAGCAATTCTCACTTCTGCACGGTTGGCCTTGGCACATAAATTCAAGTTAAAACAAAGAAGATAATTTAAAAGTTAATTTAAAAAGTAATGAAAGTAAAAAGTTTTTAAATCTCACCTCTTGTTAAATCTGATTCCACTTAAAATTAAGAGTACAAATATGAATTATATGATTATTCAAAAGTTATGAACCATATCTTGGAACGCCTCGTCAAGTTTCAGACTTTCAGTGTCGTACATCTCTAGCGTTTTGCGTTTTAGCTAGCTCTACAATTAACCCTACTCGACTCTACTAATAGGACAAGGCCGCATTATGGCCCATTCTACTCTACATGACAATGCAACTACGTGGGCCAAAGCCCTTTAAAGAAAGACACTTGATGTCTTAACAACCTTCCGAAATTGAGGGGGATGTCTTTGTTGGTATTTAAGCTTAACACATAATTCCCTAAAAATTCATCTTGTCATTGGTAGAAATATTCGGAATCATGTTGTTGATTGGCTGGATCTTGCTGTAGGAAACATAAGGCGATCTATCCCCGAAAGTCGAAAGATACTTCTAAGAGCACGATCATGGAGGTATTGTGACATTTCTTAACCAAACCTCCTTAATTTCTATACAAGAGATATATGATTTTCCTAATTAGTAGAATATGATAGTGTTGTCTTGGTATCTTGGGACCACATTGAAGCTCATTTATATATAAGTTTCACTAATGGCTCCCATATTAATTCAAGATGGATATGTATGCGATTTCCCACTTATCGGACTTGTGTTGATTTTTTATTAGTCTTGAACTTCACAATTTGATTACTTACATATATTCCACTTAACAAATAGCTTATATGATTGTGTATAAAATATGCTACATACCATTGTTAGAAAACATAATTTCCTAACAATTTCATGCTTAGACTGCATATTTTCCTTGAATCAATTATATCACAAACTTCTTTAAGCGCGTAACCGTATGCTATTTGTGTTTAGACTTCTCCTGAAACAAATGGTCCACCTTATGTATCAATTATTGAACCAAATGCTAATCACAATATGATAATGATCAAACCACAATGATCACCACACCTGCATGCTCAATGACATAGATCAAATATGGATGAGTGAGATGAAAATTACATGCAATCTGATCTTAAACATGCATAATTTCAACTGATCCAACTTTAATCTTTATTGAGATCATCGAAATTCCTTCATATAATGTGACCATAGCACGATTAAAGACACTTTTAATATCAAAATAGACCTCAGAAACCATCACTAACCAAGGTAACATCCGCAATAACACTCATGCAAGCAATGTGCTCATGAAAAACTTTAGGTGTCAACTTTGTATAAGCTAGCATCAGTCACATCCTTAATGTTCAATAGAAACTTGTCTATTTTGAACCTTATCTTTAACCTAAAGGAGTTCGATGTCAATGACTTTGAATTCTCAACTCCGTTGGGAATGATTGTGTATCAATATCATGTAATTGTTAACCTTTTATGACTTACCAATGTCATTCTAGTGACAAAACTTTGCAACCATAATTGAAAGTCTCAAAAGTCAAAACATACTTTAACTCTATCCAACACAGAAAGGTAATATTATATAGAGTTCATGCTATCTTGATACTCTGTAACATCGGGGACAGAGTACCTAATGATCTCTAAACTACTTGATCCGATAATTAGCATGTTTTCTTTTATCATCCTTACTAAACACATTACACATTTGATTCTTTTTTTTTTTTTTTTTGCTTTTACCATTTTTGTTTTATCCATGGAGAAATAAAAGGAAAAATAATGAAAAGAGCATGACCATCCAAAATCCCACTATTTTCCGCGTCTTGCAAGAAAAATGTGAGTACAATCAGAAAAGGATAGGGAGAAAGTCACGACGGCCGACACCTATGCAAAAATGCACAGGTCCAACCCTTCAATTTGTTGTTTCCTCCAAGGAGGAAGAGAGAAATCTGCAACACAAAAGGAAAGAGGTCATAGCGGTTAGCACCGCCACCGACAAAACACCCCATTGTCGATATGTTTCCTTGTCCTATGCGAGAAGAGACTCAAAAGAGTCGGTTTCAGAGAAGAGAAAGGGAGGCAACCCCTCTTCTTTTCCCCCGCACCTACTCACTAGATCTAGAGCAAATGTTGGTGATACAACTCGTTAGAATCCTTTTCAAAGAAGGATTGCATATAAGAGTTATGAAAACCCATTCTTATGAGATGGTAAAGGACAAAGGTGGACATCCAATCAAAGAGGGGAGAGGAAGGCCGCCACGCTAGAAGGAGAGAAGGTGACTCTCAGGAGATCATCGATGCTTGCTCACGCTCAAGTCATGGCAATATCTCTTGCCATGAAGAACAACAAAGACGATAGCATAATAAAAAGGATAATATCTATTATTTATTCAAATTTTTTTTTGGATTCTTTTATATTATTCAAACCTATTAAAATGCTATTTATTAACCATTTTTATAACTTTGTAACTCTTTTCTTAGTTAAAATACTAAAATTTTGGAATTTTAACTTCATGTATCTCTTCCAAGTCGGTATCAAATTGTCAAGTTAATATTACTAACAAAATTGTTAACTGAAAGTTAACAGTTGACTAATTCTTAATGTTTTGATAAGTTTGCCTAATAAAAAAGAATCCGAAAAAGATTTGGATAAAAAATAGACAGCATTTAAATGGAATAAGTACACTAATTTCCTTAGGGGTGGACAACGGGACGGGACCAAGTACCCATCCCGTTTGAAACGGGTACCCGGTCCCATTTGAAGAGTAATCTCTATCCCATATCCCAACCCGTAAGGGTTAACGGGTACCCGTTACCCGTACGGTACGGATAACGGGTACCCATAAATGAAGATGAATTACAAGTACATTGAACCTAGCAGAAGGTTACCATTGAACATAGCAGGCAGGTGAACATTGTTAGCAGGATTCCACATTGTTGTATCGATTCCATTCAGTATACTGAAGCACCTGCATCAAAAGATATGGATAACAAATAGCATTAACCTAACAAACCATGTTAATAATCAGATGAGAATGACAAAAGTAGATTCGGATGACAGACAAATTCTCTATAGCGAGACAATGGAAAAGTAGTTCGCTGTTCATGCATTAGAGATCATGCAGATCATATGCAGATAAGAAAGTTTGAAGAGCTACCCAAATGTGATTACACATACAGAATCTAAACAGCAAAATCTAGAGATCCTTGAGCATAAAATGTTCCTGCATGGTACAGTAGTCCGAAGAGCTACCTGAGTTCAAGGCTCCAAGTTTTGATTTGTTCTTTGTGTGGAAGAGTAGTAATGATCAAACTCAAGCTCCCTTAAGACCAGCAGGAGCCTCCTCTGCAATTTTGGTTAATATGGGCTTGGGTTATGGGCGGGTAGTACGGGTACCCGTAATATCCAAACGGGTATTAACGGGTAACCTGCAGGTACCCATCATAAAACTTCTTCATCCCAAATCCCATCCCATAAGAAAAATTACGGGTATTTGGGTATCTGTAACCCTCAAAAAACGGAATGGGTATGGGTATACTCAAATACTCGTTTCCCGTTGCCCACCCCTAAATTTCCTGCTATCTAGCTGAAGTAATCAAAACGACTGGAAGAGGAGCTCATTAAAATGGAATCCAATCCAAGTACACTAATTTCCTGCTATCTAGCCGGACAGCATGGCGATTCAAGTTCTTACAGCATCAGTTGTGGTCATATAGCAAGTGCAATTTGGTTGGCGATTAAATCAAACTTTCTAAACCAAGGGAAATTGAACCTAGAAGTTCTTTTAGCAAATCACCAATGTGATCATCCCTTTACCAATGCAAATCCAGGGCATTGGAATTGTCTTTCTCTTCAACAGCAGGATTCATCAACCAAAGATCTAGATATTAATATTATTAAGCTAGCAAGGATTGACGGCGAGAAGAACGCGTCGCTGATAAGGGCCAACAATCTTTAATAAGATTGTAAATGACTAATAAAGTATGGCTGCCGCCTGTCGGTACGGTGCTAATTAAACCAAAATTAGATTGCTATTGTGAACTCAACTATGGTGCAGGCAATCAATTATAAACAAAGAAAAACTAGCGGTGCAAGCGATCCACCAGATGGCATTAAGTCTCTAGAGAGGCTTTAGTTGTGCTATTTGTGGTTAGCTAACTTCTAACTAGTAATGACAATTGGCAGGTACCTCAACACCCATGTTCCACCACACGCTACTGTAAGGCGGGACGACTAAAATCCGTGCGGGTACGGGGTGTGACGGCTGGTATGGGGGCAGGACGGTGGGTATGGGGCAGGGCCGATCGACCCACTCTTACATGTTATTTGAAAAAAAAAACTCCACAAATTTTACTTTTTACGATAAAATGAAGGGGAAAACACTTTATAAATGAGCAATAAGAATGAATATTTGAGTTTAACAAGTGAAAAGATTCTCTAACTACTTGAAAAAAAAGTCAAAATTTGTATAAATACTGCAAGAAAATGAAACAGAATTGGTCAAGAACGAGACGGGGCAAAACATGAGTCGAAAATAAGGAAAATGCCTTCCTTTTCGCAGGTCAAGTCGGATAATACCCAAAGACAGGTTAAAATTGCCATCACTACTTCCATCGAGAAACTAACTTCCAGGTTCAAAACAACTTGGATATTTGTGGTAGCTTCACTAAACTTTAGCCGTCTGCCTGCTCAACCAAATATGTCTGAACAAAGAGAATAACGAACACAATATGAAGAGCCGACTAACCTTATCATGCATCCTGTTGGTGTTTTAAATGCATGTTCAACAGCCATCAAGCTGTTCAAGAGAGGAGAAAATGAATCCACGGAAGGTGAGCACTTACCCAGTGAAGCTGCAGAGAAAACTGTCAACTCTGAACATGAATCTGCAGCGGCATACCGCTCACAAGGAAGGATCAACCAAAGGCAACTCAAGAACGAAAAAGTCACCGTAACCAAAAAATCAGATCACATATAATACAACGGGCTTGCACTGCAGTAAGATGCATATGCATATACGTATGCTAGTAAGACATGTTTCTAAGTAGAGAGCCCGTTCAAAGGACACAGAACCCACATACAAAGTCAGTCTGGGCATCCTGAGAGGCTCCCGATCATTCTCAAAACTTGATTCATAGAATTACAAAGACATACTTGATTCTACTAGGCTCGACGTTTACTCAGCCGCCAAGAGTTAGGTTCGTGATATCTGTCATAAAGAGGCTCTATTCGTTCCTGGCGTTTGCGCTTGCTCATTTTGGTTGGATCAGCAGCTTTGAAAAACCTAGGTGCAAGTTCTACCAGCCACTTAGGATCCACCACAGTGACTTCACGCATATACTCTTTTGTTGTCATCACTAGTTCATGGTAGATCACCCAATCTGGCTGTCTCTGGAAAAGGGCACTGCTTGGATGGATATACACTGCTTGGTTCTCCACTAGGGTCCTGTACCCCTCTTGTGGATCCTTCCTCGCAGCATGGAAAAAGAAACCAGCTGTGATGGCTTTCCTTATCTTCATGAAATTCTTTCCAGCGCTCACCACATCCAACTTATACCTGAATGACACCCAAACAATAAGTAAGGTCAGAATCATGTTCAAGCATAACCATGTAGAATCCAACTCACTCGCCAATATAATAGTAGACCCATGACAAAAAGAAATACATGCAAAAGCATTTACACCAATCAATCAAACTGCTTCATAGAATCTAAAACTAGTAAATTACAGGTAAAAGGTCCTTAATATGAAGGGGGGGGGGTGGGAAAGGTGAGACAAGATTATTGACTAAAAGATCAAGAGCGTACTTATCCATAATGGTGAGAAGCTGCTTTCTGACATCTTGGGCTCTTCGCAAGGACCTGGACTGAACAAAGTTCTCAAAACACCAAGGACCAGAGAAGTTCTTTGCTTTCCAAGCCTCATAGACAGCAAGCAAGGTCAAGTGGTCACCCTCAGGCTGGAAGAATTTGGCTCTCTTCTGGTCAGCTTGACCTTGTTTCTCCCTGGGCCTGTAGAAAATGTTCCCTGTTTGGATCATGGAAATGATAGTCAGAATCTCATCACTACAGCCAAGGTCGACACTAGCCAGCAACATCTTGGACAACGGAGGATCCAGAGGGAATTCAGCCATTTTCCTCCCCAATTTTGTAAGCAGCCCTTCTTCATCCAATGCCCCTAGACTGTACAGCTGCTCCATGGCAGAGATTAGGGCTTGAGGTGATGGTGGATCCATAAAATCAAAAGATAAGAGATCATTAATTCCCATGGCCTTCATTGTAAGTGTTACCATCCCAAGATTAATTCTTTGGATTTCAGGAATGGACGTAGGGGACATTTCATTCCGGTAGGCACTTTCAGTGTAAAGACGGTAACATTTCCCAGGCCCAGTACGGCCAGCACGTCCAGCTCGTTGCTTAGCAGATGCCTGTGAGATTGGGGTTATAACCAAAGAATCCAGACCTTGCTTCGGATTGTATACATTCTGCTTAGCAAACCCAGGATCCACAACATAAAATATCCCATCAATTGTCAGTGACGCCTCTGCAATATTGGTTGCCACAACCACCTTTCTTTTCCCTGGAGGAGCTGGATCAAATATCCTTGACTGCATTTCACTAGGAAGGGCACTATAAACTGGTAATATAATCAGTTCTGGAACATTTTTACCTAACGCCTTCATCCGGTCATACAAACACTGGCAGGCAAAATCAATTTCTTCCTGACCTGTTAAGAACACAAGCACATCACCTTCGGGTTCCGTCAAATGGATCTGTAAGACAGTGATCAGGGCAGCATCTAGGTAATCACTTTCAGGCTGCTTGGTGTATAGAATCTCCACCGGGAATGTCCTACCAGGGATGGTGAAAATGTTACAATTGAAAAAATAACCAGAAAATTTCTCAGCATCCAGGGTAGCAGAAGTGACAATCAAACGAAGATCAGGCCTTCTCTTCACCAACTTCTTAAGAAGCCCAAAAAGAACATCAGTGTGAATAGTTCTCTCATGAGCTTCATCGAGCATTATTACTGAATATTGAGAGAGCTCCTCGTCAATCAATATCTCCCTAAGAAGCATACCATCAGTCATATACTTGATGACTGTATCTGGCCCAGTACAATCTTCGAAACGAATAGCATATCCCACTTCCTCTCCTAACCGACAACCAAACTCTTCAGCAACACGTTTGGCAACAGACATTGCAGCAACTCTACGGGGCTGAGTACAACCAATCTTACCACGTGTAGTATAACCAGCCTCGGCAAGATATTGTGTTACCTGTGTAGTCTTACCAGAACCTGTCTCGCCGATAACAACCAAAACTTGGTTATCATGGACAGCCTGAACCAGCTCTTTTTTCAATTTGTAAATGGGCAAACTTTGTCGTTGATCCTGGATCGATAGTTTCGACCTCTGCCCAAATGTCAACGCCTTCCCATAAGCATCCTTCTTCCATTCAGGCATGTCATAAGCAGACAAACCAACCCCCCTAAGTTCCTGGGCCAGATGCCTCTCACCACTCTCTGGCATTGGGTCTTCCCAAGGTCGATTCAGATCCTTTGGTATGGAATCAAGCATTGTCCTTTGTTGTTGCTCCCTTACTTCCCTCCTCTCCTTAATTAGGGCAGACTGCAAAGCAGCTGCTCGACTCAGTGACCCTTCAGGATTCTTAAAGATCTTCACAGGTGACATATCAACGGAGGACCTAGTTTGCCCCTGCAAAAATGCAGGCTCATCCTCGTTGATCTCAATTTCCAGTTCCTCCTCACCTCCTTCCTCTTCATATTGCTGCAACGCATCTGCTTCTTCATCATACATAGGGTACTCTTTAACACTTAGAACACCTGAAGCAATCAACTGCTTAGCTTCCCATCTCTCTGGTGAACTCATCCTCTTCAGTGGCCTGCGAGATGGAATAGCTTCATCTTCTTCCACAATCCTAATCCCTGATAACCCTGTCCGAGTTCTTTGCCCATCTCTCGAACTCGAAGGATTCGTCCTAGAGGTATCATCGTTGGAGATCTTCTTCAGTGGGAGTAGATCCCTCCCAGTGTGCTGGTCCACATCTCGCATTGAAAGAGACAACTTCTGACCTGAAATAGAAATCACCTTCACATAGACTTCTTGATCTCGTTTCACTACTTCCTTTGCGTTGCCGATTCTCCTGGTTGCAATCTGAGAAACATGAACAAGACCCTCCTTCCCTTTGAGATCATTTAACTGCACGAAGCAACCCGAGTCCATGACCCTGGAAACCCTGCCTTTATATACATTGTATAATTCAGGCTCGCTGGAGTTAGAGGCAGTGCTCTTCTGGACCATCTCACCTTTGCCGTCTTCTTGCCTATCATAACCACTACTATCTCGGATGTCGTCACCTCTCCTATGCCAATCATGCCGACCATCTCTATGCTTTCCTCTATTCTTGTAACCATCGTGATCTTTCTCTCCGTAGCCCTCATCATCATGATAACCATCATCCGAGTCTCTGTCTCTGCGCCTCTCACGATCATGACCACGATCCCTATCCCTGCCTCTATCCCTATCCCTGTCACCATCTCTGTCTCTGTCTCTATATCTATCTCTATCTCTATCCCTACTTTTATCCCTGTCCCTCCTTTCTCTGTCCCTGTCTCCACCCCGGTTATCATCTTTCCTCCTATCATTGATCTCCGTCTCAAGCTCCAGCTCGAGCTGCTTCACTCTATCCTTGCCATCAGCAATAGCGAGAGCTTTGTACTTACCCCCACTACCGGCGGTCTCCTTGGGGATCTCCGACTTGCGCATCGGAGGAAGAATGGCATGTATAATGGTTAGAAGCGTCCGCACAAAGTAATCGGGCATCTCGGCGCCGTTCTCCTTCAACTTTGAATCGAACTCGTCCACAGCCTCGCAGTTGCGACCCAACTCGGTAATGAACTCCGCGAGGACTTTGTCACCGAACCCTAAATGAGTCTCGAGCTCGGTGCAGACCTTGGAGACCAGAGATAGATATTCCAACTTCTTGAGGTCATCGTCTTGAGCCATGACCGTAGCGACGGTTGGACTCTTCCAACGAAGATAATGCCTTACCGGATTCACTTGCCTGGGAAAGGTGGAGACGCGTAGCTTGGTGTAATTAGGGTTCTACGGAATCTGAGAAACGATTGAAATTCGTGTGAAGAAAAGAAAGAGAAAATAAAGAGGAGAGACGGTGAACCGCCTAAAATCGGCAACGGTACCGTGTTGGTAAATTGTAAGCCGTTAGATATACGAACCATAAATCGTAGCCTTTGATTTATATTTATCACTTAACCGAGACTGGTTCAACCTAATCATTCTTTGAGTAAATCACCTTTTTCTATAACGTTTTCTTTGGGTAAATCACCTTTTTCTATAAGGTTTATGTTATAATATAAATATAAATCAAAGGCTACGATTTATAAAATAAATAACTTGTTTGGCAGCATTTTACTAAAACGAGTTATTTGAACAATGAGTTATTTTGAAATAACTTGTTTTACTACTCTGTTTTTACCAAATACCACATGTCAAATACTACATTTGCATGGTTCAACCAAACGAGATACTTATTTGAGTTGATCAATTTTCACACAATTACAACGAATTGATAAATTCTGGATGAAGGAATTTGGCCTGCAAATTTGACTTGATCCATTTCAAACAATTACAACGAGTTGATATAAGGGCATGTAATTTGAATTAACTCGTTTTAAATTACTCATTTCATAAATTAAGACAACTAGCTACTTCAATCTAGATCAAGTACACTCTAAATTGGCGAAGCATTATAGTGGTGACCACCCAAAGGCCGTATTCCCTTGGGAACTACTGTTACTATCGAATCATATTGTTATCTAGTCGATCAATTGGCGATGTTTAGTCTAAACAAAGTACAATTGCAATATACTTTAAAGTCAAAATAAAGAGAAAATAAAGAGAGTACTTGGGATTGATTTCCCTCCTCCCCAACCTAACTTTTGGGAAGTGACAATCATGAAATCTATTTGCATCCTTTGTAGTGTCTGTGGGGTAAGAATCATTACTGAGGCAATTGGGTCAATGGTCATGCACCTAATTACCCTCTTAATCTCAATGGACATGTTATTGACCATCATAGCTAAGGTTTAACCTCAATTCTTGAATTAGGGACAAGCCCAACAATCACATGGATATATAGATCAATGGTCATGCAAATACATATCTATTCCATTAGGTTTAGACTTGACGCAATTGAATGGTCACCTTCATTAGTCAAGCACCATATAATCCATACACAATCAAGACATGAAATAACAAATACTTCAACCAATTAGACATAATTTACTAAGAAATCAACAAACTTATTCATTGCATATTACTAATCCCTCTATTAGATTACAGGTTCTTACCCCCAGGTACATAATAAGGAATCACCCTTGTGAAAGGGAGAAGAAGAAACAGAAACTTCATCGTCTCTTTTAGTGTAAACCCTTAGATTCTCATCTCTCTTGTTTGTTGGAAGTTGAAAATTGGCATATCCCTTCTCTCAAAATCGACTCAACTATATATATGCCCTAAGGATGAACAAGTTCACAGGCTAAGTCCATGGCTTGATCACATCCATGAAATCCCAAGGGAGCTTGCGAACTTTGAAAAGCTACCATTATGCTCTGCATGCCTTGAAGATCACGGGTCTCATTTCCCGACAGTGATATTAGAATCACGGGCGCGGAGTTGTCCGCGAATCCGACCGTGACACCGACTACTTATTTTTGCTACTTTTGTTGCAAGGGTTCACGGCCCGAGCTTTGAGATCACGGGCATGACATTTTTTTGCATGACCGTGAACTCAAATCACGGGTAGGCATCATAGCCATGAACTTCTTCCTTCTGTTGTGAGCTATGTATCTTGGGGAAACTCTCTAATCTTATGCCCAATTTGCCTGGAAATCACCTAAACACCCACATTCTTCGCTCAAACCTATCCATAATGAATTACAAAGAAATTCTAGACTAAAATCAGATAGTTTAGGACTCAATTATGCTCAATTGACCATGATAACACCTTGAATTATGCTTAAGGGGACAAATATGGTTATGTACAAATGCATAACTAATGGTGTTATAATGCACCCTACCCTAAACCCAAGGCACCACTCAACTCCACATTTTCTTTTTTCTTTTCAAGGATTGACAATGCATTAGTTAGAAAGATCCACTACCAACAACCCCAACACATTCACAAGCCACCTTACAAAATCAAAAGCTACTAACTCTAAACAAGACAACAATAGAGTTTACTTGCCACTCTATGCGCAACCCAGTTGGCAGTTCGCGAAACCGCCTAAAATCTATACAATGAGCAAACGACTCAAGAAGAAGACTATAATCGTGAAGGGGTCTTCCAGTGGAATCCGCCACCACACCAAGACTGAGCTGACATATAACCACTTCTACATCGCCTTCGAGTATGACATGAGATATTCTTTTTGGAGCCGCAAAGAGATGGCATCTATGGCTACAAGATGGAAACCCTAATGCCGAAAACTCAAGGCGAGGATCACATGCCCGTCCGAGTCCCAAACAACAAGGCCAGACGAGCAACCAGAGTCTTGGATAGCGACATCAAAATTGATCTTAAAGAGGTTTCCAGGCGGGCATTGCTAGAGAAACTGGGTAGATGAAGGAGCACAGACCATCAAAGACGGGGTAGGTGGCAAGGATGGGGACACTTCACGGACCTTAGATGAGAATTGGTGGGCAAGTAAACGGACATGATGTTGGTATTTTCAAATACAACTTTAATTCTTGATTTCCATATTCTCTAGAAGAGGAAAACAAACTGGAGAAGCAAAAATTAATTAAACCCTTCAAAAAACCCCAGAAAATGACAACCATCAAAATGCCTAAGCCTATATAGTAGTATATAAAATTATATCAAGGTGGTATAAGGAAGTATACAATGGTGGTATGAATATATAATAGTGTTGAATGGTTGTATACATGATAGTAGGAATATAATAACCGCCATTCAACACATTTCACCACCATCTACTACCAACAAGGGTGTATCTGAATTAAGGAACTTGTGTCAAGCGACACACTTCTACCCAGGATTTCAGTGAAAAATGCATGTTTCGTTACTATAAGAATTTGGAACTAGAATCTCCGGCACACCTCAAAAAGTTGTACTTGACACATCTGTTATAATTGCAAGTAGTGAAATGACTTTATACTATGAAGTTGATAAATGATGATATCCGAGATCATGTTAATGACCAATTTATCAATGATTGTTGGGTTCTATATATTGAAAAATATTTGAGTTGCAAAATAAACGGTAAATGTATTTCACAAACTTCTCAGAATATAAATTTTTTGCACGCTATGAAAATAGTGGAATTTTCTACTCTACTCTACTCTATGAATTGAATTTTATTTAGTTTTATTATTTTATTTTTGGCCTAATTGCAAGTTTGGTCACTCGAATTGTTATAAAATTTCACGTTTGCCACTCAAATTAATTTATTCCATTTATAGTCATCCTAATTAGTTGAACAGTTCAAGTTCGGTCACTCTCCGTTAACCTCCATTAACTTTGACTGACGTGGCAGTTAACTCTGACCGTTGACCGTTGAATGTGTGACGTGGCAAATAAAAATTAATTAAAAAATAAAAATAAAATTTTTAGAAATTACACATCATTATAAAAAAATTATAATTATAAAAAATGAAAAAAAGAAATTATCCAAAAACTTGAACGGCCGCTCCGACCACTTATCGGACTTCCAACGTCACCGAATTGGCCGTGTGCTCCCTTTTTCATATGTACATGACATCATTCCCGCTGAGCTATAACTCGCTACAGAACTCGACGAACTGATAATTATTAGCGTCGGCGACCGAGCTCTGATCGTCGAAGCTGAACTGCGACGAGAAAACGTCGTTGGCAGATCCATCGCTCACCGTCGTCGTCATCGAGTTCTGCCCGCCGCTTGTCCCCTGCTGAAACAACGGGTACCCATGAAACAAACCGTTATTATCATCACCTCCAAACAACCCGCTGATGTCAGGTCCGAAATCAGCAGTCCCGCCGGCGAACCCCTTAGTATTGCTGCAACCCACCAACGGCGCTGCCGACGTGGCGGCGAAACTGTCCAGAGATAGCCACTCGGCGAACATGAGCTTCGGCAGAGCAGGACTTGGTCCGTTGATCTCTTGGTGATGACGGTTGCTGTAACTTTGCGGGTCCCACTGGTCGGCGGTGGAGGGCGGCGGTGAGTTTTCACGGAAGTGCGATGCCGGAATAAGTGTGGGTTTGTCCGGAGATGGGGAAGAATAATGGTCGGTTTTCACGACGGCGAGCGGGAATAATGGTCCGGAATTGAAGAACAGGTCGGTTTTCATGACGGCAACTGAACTTTTCATTCTGCAGTTCAAAGCTGGAAGGGAGGTCGGCGTCGTGCAGACTGTCGGACAGAGTATGTCTCGCTCTCTCGATTGTTTTTCTGCGTTCTGTGATTTGTTGTTTGTCATGTTGAATTTCATGGATTATGAAAACTTATCAAATGGGATTGTTGATCACAGGCTAGTGATCAGTTGAGCAGATCAGTATCTGTAGTCATACGATCTCCTCAGGTAATCAGTTGAATGCTATTAACCACACTCTGTCCGATTGTGGCAGAAATGGAAGGTATAATGCTAACTGCAACCCCTTCCCCTTTCCCGATCTTTAGGTCTCCACACAGCATGCACAGATTAGCTACAAAAATGGCTACTTCTTCTTGTCAGATCTCAGGAGCGAACATGGAACCTTCGTCACAGAGTAAGTTTCTGAAAGTCTTGGCTCATACTCTACTGTATATACCGTAATTCTTCATTAAGTCCGGAGTCCATGATAATGCAGTAACGAAGGAAGACGACACAGGATACCTCCAAACTTCCCAACCCGGTTCCATCCCTCGGATTCCATTGGTTCTGATAAGAAGGTATGCTCTATCTCTTTCTCTGTGATTGATTATGGGATTGGATCTTGGTCAAGATTCAGAGTTTTTCTCTGGTACAGACCATGTTTCGGGTCAAGGTGCTGAGGTCATTTTTTATAATTATATATTTTTTTTATAATGATGTGTAATTTCTAAAAATTTAATTTTTATTTTTTAATTATTTTTTATTTGTCACGTCACACATTTAACGGTCAACGCTCAGAGTTGACTGCCACATCAGTCAAAGTTAACGGAGGTTAACGGAGAGTGACCGAAGTTGAA